GCTGGGCGGGGGCTGAGAAGTCATCAGGGCCACTCACTGGGGCCCAAACTGGCACCGAGAGACGCGGGACGTCCTCACGACCAGGCAGTGACCACCAGGAAGCACAGGAGACGGCAGCCTGGACCCTGCCAAGTCCTCCCTGCACCAGGGCCTATTCTGAAATTCCCTTTTTCTAGAGCCTTTTCCCTTCCTAAGCCCTGTGAATAAATAAAGGCACTTCTTTGGAAGGTTAAAAATAATAATAAAATAAGTACATTGTTCCCTAAGATATCAAAAAGGAAGACTCCCAGTTAAATACTTTGATCTGGTATTTTACTCATTAGTGTTGTTACCTGGTGATTCACAGAAAATGCAGCATGCAGCAATTCCTACATGAGAGGCAATTTGTGCAACGATTGATAAATGAATAAAGAAATAAACTAACGTGTGACTGGGGTTAAAAATAATCATGCCTCACCAAAATTAATGCATGAGGGTCTTTCATAGTGTACACATTATTCTCATTAAAACAGATTTTTATCCTCCTGTGCGACAACATTAACCAGTTTCCACAAGAATGAGTCTAGGGTCTCATGACTGAAGACCAACCGACACACCACAACGGCACTTACATGTCTGTCCTCCGCGCCAGAAGCCACGTAGCGTCCACAAGGGCTGAAAGCAGTCCCACGTGGGTATCCGTGGTTTGGATGTCCTTCAAAACAGCACTCGCATCTATAGGAAAGGAAGAAACATCAGGAGAAAAAAATGATTTTTTATTTTTAACACAAATTAGGGCAAAGACACTGACTTGTAGCCTGTCTTCCCAACAATGAGCAAACCAGCACTGAGATAGCATGCTCACGTGTGAGTAATTAAAGGCAAGCAGGTCATTCTGAAGATCTTTAAAAATATAGAACAAACGTTTTCAAATGATAAATTATTTGGATCAGTGATTCAAAGACTTCTGGGAGGTGCAACACTCTAACAAGGCTGGTGCCTCAACCAACTTGCTACAAAGTGTTACATACAACCTGTTTATTGATGCTGGTTTTCCCCAGAAAATCTCCTATTTGGGGATGGCCAGAGCTGCCCAAGGAGAGCCTTCGCAAGCGCTGACCAGCACATGGCTGGGCTCCAGGGGGTCCACGATGCCAAACAGAGCCCCACCTGGAGAGGGCTCAGGGAACACGCCCTCACACATCAGAGGGGCTTTTGTATTCACTTAGCGATTACAGAGGAGAGCAGAGACACTGTTCATCCCGCCCTTGCCGTCTGTAAGTGTGCGTACGCACAAATATTGATGATACTTTTTTATCTACGTTATATATTCAGTGATTATTCCCCATAACAGAATTATCTTTTTTAGAGAACAGGAACATACACATATATGCATTTGCATCACTGTAGTTTATGAGCATCTCATTACCTCCCTGTGCATATCTGACCCTCAGGGGTCACAAGGCACAAGCCTAGCAAAGACCAGCACCCTTTACGTTAGCACTCCAAATTGGTGTGACCTGTTCTGTGTATAAATCATACTCTTCTTAGATGGCTCAGCATGAGTAGGTTCACCACAACCTTGTTGTATTTGGAAAAAAGAGATCAAACTGAGTGTACAGACACTAAGGCCACGTGCCTCAGGAGCTGTTAACAGAAGCATGTCTCGTGCGCCCCCTGCAGGCCAGGGCGGGCCTTACCTCAGGGTTCGCAAGTCCCACAGCTTTCTGGCATCCCCAGTGGCTGTGGTGGCGAAAAGGTTATAAAGCTGGTGCTGTTGGGTCGTGAATGCTGGTCCCTAGAATTGTAAGGGGAGGAAACAAGATGTGTTCTTTAAAGGCTGAATTAATAAACATTATACTGACGCTATCTAACAACAGTGAATCTAAAGTAAGAAACTGACACGAGGTTTTTTTCTTATTTATAACAATTTCAGAATTGGCCTCCAAAAACTTCCTTATGAATAATTACTAATGGTACATTTTGACCTTAGGAAGTGTATGTTTTCTATATATGAAATGCCACCAAGAATTATAAAAGTACAATAAAAGATCAAAAGACTACAATATGAATATACCAGAATTTATTTTTAAATATAGATCATAATCCATCTTCAATAAATTATCTGAAAGATGCCCTGAATGGGGCATTTGAAGTTTGAGGTCAATTATTAATCTGCCAGTTATCAAACCCTAAGGCCTCCGTGCAGGCCCTGGCTGGGGTCCCTCTGAGGACCTGCCTCTGATCTGATCATCACCTCCCCTCATGCTGCAGTCAGAAGGCCGCAGCGACTTAAAATATCTCCTGGAAGGAGCTGAACTGCACTCCACCTACAGAACCATTTTTGGACCCAAACATTACATAATTATGGTTCATGACAATGTCCATCTTCCTTCCATGCCAAGAATATCCAAATTATTAAGAAAAATATACTGAAGTACATCTGAAAGTACGTACCCTCACAGTGTGCACATACCTCGAGGCTGTTCTTCAGTTACAAATAGGAAATGAAGGTGTACATAGACTCAATAGCAAACTAACAGAGAGAGTCTTAACTCTGTGCCAACAGCATTCTGAACACTGAACATTTCATCCTCTTAACAAACTTATGAGATGTAAACTATTTTATACCCATTTCAGGTGAGAAACACGACACAGAGGAATCCACTCATAGCCACCGAGCTACCAATTCAACATAGCTTAGCAGTCCACAAACGAGCACAAGGTCAAGACACCTTGATAACTCATACCATCCAAACAATTCAACAGACATAAAACAAACATCCAGAGATCATCCACTAAACACTGAGCACTTTGCAAGGCACTGAGTCTAGGAATGAGACACAGATCGAGTTTAACAGAAAGGCAGAGTTACAATACCTTACAAAATTGCTAGTTTCTTGAAGTTAACCAGTAAAAAACCAAAAGCATTCACAGGGATAAAAAGAGAATTAAAACCTTTTTTCAATCAATCCAATTGAGGCTAAGGAAGAAGAAATGAAGACGCAAAGAAAATCCATGATAAATAGAAAATACAGAAGTTTTTTTTTTTTAATGTAGAAGAGAATGCACAAAATAAGATCAAATGTGTGAGTAAGCATACCAGTTGTAAACAGACTAAACTCAACAAGTTAAAAAAAAGAAGAGATTCTTAGTTGGATTTCAAGAAAAACACTAAAAACATCATTTTTAGGGGCATCTGGGTGGCTCAGTCAGTTGAGCGTCTGCCCTTCAGCTCGGGTCATGGTCCCAGGGTCCTGAGACTGAGCCCCACATCAGGCTCCCTGCTCAGAAGGGAGTCTGCCTCTCCCTCTCCCACTGCTCCTCCCCTCACTCATGCTCCCTTTCTCTCTCTTCTCTCAAATAAATAAATTTTTTTTAAAAAAATCACTTTTAAAGGCTGAATGTGAAGGGTGGGAGAAAAATAGCATATACTAAATAAAAGAAGGCAAGATTGATTGCAAAAGTACTAGAAAAAATAGATACAAGGCAAATAAGACCTCATTAAAAATAGTTTATAGATATTATAAAAGGAACACTGCAATGAAAACGTAAGAAGTCTGACTTAAATATGCCCAATTACACAGCCTGTAATTATACGGAGCAAAAATTAATAGAATTATAAGAAGAAATTGACAAGATTACAATCACAGGGAGAGGTATTAATACATTTCTCTAATTAAAAAAAAACAATCGAGAGTACAAAAAATTAGGAAACCTGAATAATTTGAATACAATTAATAAGGTTGGGTCAATAGACATCTATGCAAACATGTACCCAGTGGTGGGTGAGAACATATTCTTTTCACGCACACATATATGATACTCATAAAAATCAACCACACAGCCAAGTTTCTCAATAGATACAAAAATCGCAACAGGTAGAAGAGAATCAGTGCCATATAGATCACGTGCTCCAAACACAATGCCATAAAATCAGAAATCAGTAACAGAAAGTTTACCAAAAACAAGCTCATACATGTAGAAGCCTAAAAGCACACATCTAAATAAAGTCTAGGTTAAAAAAAGTCCTAATGGGAATTAGAAAATGTTTACTACTGAATAATAAAAATAGCACCTGCTCCAAGCGGTACAGGGCAACTAAAGTGGTACTCAGAGGGAAATTCATAGGCTTCACTGCAAAGGCATTGCAGTGGCTTCACTGCAAAGGCTTCACATTGCAAAGGCATAAAGATGGGTTAAATTCATTCCTACAATGTGAATAAAAATCAGGTAGCACAGAGATATGAACAGTTTGCTGCCATCACACAGTCCAGAACGTATTTTGATGCGTACTTGGGAGTCACACCAAATTCAGTTGTGGTAATCAAAGAAGAATGAGACAGAAACATACAGAGCAAAATTGTGTCTGTCCCCACAAGCATTTCATCTCTTTAAAAAAAAAAAAAATACAAGATCTAAAGATAATAAAGTAATATATCTTAAGGCAATCATATGGATTTCACTGACCATTACTGCTGAAAACCTGAAGTTTTCTGTGTGATGAAATGTTTTCATTAGAAAACTATTTAAACCATTACATATTTAATTTTTCAATTCAAATTAGCTATATAGCATTGTGTATTTACATCATAAAAATGCATATATCTTATTCAGGCGTAGAAAAAAGTAATAGTCAAGTTTTTATTATATATACAGAAAAAACAATAGCTATGATTTTTAAAGAGATCAGTAAATCATAAAAGATTTATGTATTTTCATTGTAAAAATAAACCACTTAATGATATAACACAATTTAAAAATAGGAAAATATGGCACTCAATTTTTGATGTACTCTTGTGAATGTGATAAAATTAGACAGTCTGCTTCTCCAACAACGATCGCGGGGCAATCCCCGGAAGAGGTGGTTTTCAGACTGTGCGTGGATGCTTGCAAAAAGAGCATTACTGGTGTGTGACTTCGGAATGATCTATTTTATGTTTTACTGGAAATAGGGCATTCGGGCCAGTTAGGATTTGTATTACATGAGCGTTCCTGGGTAGCAGCTCCCATATGACTGCGGTTGGTCAGAACACTTTGATGTATGTTGTGAACTGAACAAAAATTTAAGAGAAGTTTAGAAAAACAAGCTATTAGAACACAGTGTAAGCGTCTGGAACCTTACACTCCTTCCCTTCCCTCCCACCATATGCCATTCAGAAGTGTATTTTCAGGAAGTAAAACCAGTTATTTTCCCAGTAAAAAACCTCAGGACTATTCTTCCTAATACAACACCTCTCATCCAAGAGCACCCCACAATGATCCCCAAAATATCACAGTCATCCCTGGAAGGCCACATCAATTTGAGGTAGATCGGGCTACTGTTTGGTCATTACCTACGCTGCTACTTAATGGAGAAGAAACTTTAAGCAGTTTCCCAAGCAAATGCACGAAAACCCGTAACGACGAGAGGCTTTGTGAGAGGGACCTACGGGGTGGCCACCGTGTCGCCCGAGGAGGGAAGGCCGTCCCGTCACCACAGCGGCCTTGCGCCGGCTGCTGACAACGCTGTCCACACTGTGTGTCTGGGGAGAAGCTGCCCAGGAATCCGTTCGGGCCCCCAAAACGCAGGGACCCCCACATCCTTCAGGAGGGGGACACCTCCTCCAGCCTGACACGGCGCCCGAAAACAGGCTACGTCACAAGCCCCTGCCCACGCGCACCAGCACTGCGGGGGCCCCAAGCCTCTCCCGCATCAGCCCGAGCCCGGTCCCCGGGTCCGGGCAGGCACTGCGCGGACCGAGCGCCGGCTGCGGCCCGGCCCGGGAAGCCACCTGCCGCTGAAGGAGCAGCCGTGCACCCGGGCAGCGGCTGTGGGCGCAGCGCCCGCCGTGGGGCCGGGATCCACGCAAGCTGAGCTGCTGCTCGGGAGCACACCCCCCTCCCTCGCCAGCCCGTCCCTCCACCGGGGGACTCACAAAGCGCCACACGTTGGCAGAGCACCAGCGCCCTCCCCGGGGGTGGCCTTCCAGCCCGAACCGCGGGGCGCACTCTCGCTACGTCCATGTCTGGGCCCCTCCCGCACGCACACCCACGCAGGCATCCGCGCCGGCCCTCACCTTCCCGCTCAGCCTTCAGGACGGCTGCCCTGTACCTGGACTAAAGCCCGGTTGGCGCGGAGACGACAACCCGCACCTGGGGCTTCACCACATGGGCCTGAACGCTGCTCTCCCAAGGCACCCCTGGCTCCCTCCCGTACCCCACGGACCTGCGGCCCGCCTCACCTGCTCAGAGAGGCTCCCCCAGAGGAGCCTGGGCACAGGGTATGTGATGCTGCGTGAACCCACTTCTTTCCGCACAAGGGTACCAGTTCACTCCTGCACACACGTACCCCAGGGCTCACAACGGCGCCAGGCGCAGACTCGCTGACAGATACATTTAGATGAATTCGTCGCTAGGTTAATTAATGCATATGCATATACACACATGCATGCACACATGGATAAACACATGCTCACACACCCACACATACATGTGTGTGCACGCGTGTGTGCCTGCATGTCCTCATCTGGTCCAGGCCACAAGAGTGGTGAGGACAAACGGGCAGGCACCGGGATGCTCCGGCTCAGCCATCCCCCAAGAGCTCGCCGTGGTGAAGTGTTGCAGGCGTGGAGTGACAGGATCCCAATTCTGCTCATTAGGCTCGTTATCAGGATGTGGGGAAGCCCCAAGCCTGGACACAGAGAGGCAGCACGGAGGCCCCCAGACCACAGCGCCCCACTGGGGTTTGGACCGGGAGCTCTGTGGCCAGACGCACAATCACTGCTGACGCAGCTCAGGGAACTGGCGCTGCATGTCTCGGCTCCCACATCCATGCATCAGGGCTCTCTGGGGACGGAGTTCATGCACGCTCAGCACATCATGTCCGGCACGTGGGAGCACACCTGTAAGAGTGTGACGGCAAACACTGGGGGATGCCTCCTCCTGTCCTGGGGAGTGCCCCCCAGGAGCTAAACGTCGCCAGAGCTCAATGCATCCCACAGAAGCCATCTATGGCACCAGAAAAGGGCCTGGGCCCAGCAACCCAGGTTCCCGCACAAGCCCAGCCTGAGACCTAAGTCCACAGAGGGATGAGACAGGAGAGCCCCAAGGGCCTGCAGGCCAAGTCTGATTCTATCCCAAGAGTTACTGGGAACCTCGGGGGATTTCAAGGAAGACACTGAGATGGTCACTTGTATTTAGCAGTGGGAGTGTGACGGGTTGAGGAAGACCCTTGTGGAGATAGCAGATTGGGGTGGCGGCAAGGGCAGAAGGACGGACGGACAGACTGCACAGGGGGTGCTGACCAGGCAGTGCTGGGCACACTCGTGGTGTTCATGCCGTGGGTTTACATATGCGAGTCAGGCTGTGAGGACACACGGGGCACGGGAACCACCTGGCTCTTAGCCCAAACTCACTAACTGCTTGGGCTAAGGCAACCTGTCTGTTTTATGTATCTTCACAACCCTCCTAAAATCAAGTTCTGTCTGATAATATGTGACAAGGTAGAGTCCCCGTCAAATGCAGCCTTCTCCAGTCTTCCCAGGACACAATGACTGTCCTCATGACCGCAGCCACACTCTCATCTCATGTGACAGCACTCGCCACAGTCAGCTCTGCATAAATATGACCCACGTCCACACCTACCACCTTCTGTGTTACAGTTTCTTTGAAAGCAATTTCTTACTTCAGCTTCTGATCTTCTACTGCAAGTAGCAAATCCTTGAGCATTTATCCTTAACACTCACAGGAACAAAGGGATTGTGTGAAATTAGGTGCATCAGAGAAGAGAGACTTTTTAAGGCAACGCCCACCAACTTTCATAAATTTATATTTAAAGAAATAGGAAGAATGGTTGTCATTTAATGAACTGAGAATATGTTAAGAGATTTACCTGCATTATCTTATTTAATCTCTGCAACAGAGAAAAGTAAGGAATGCAAAAGGTTTAAAAGTCTTCTACCATGAAATGGGAACAGAGGGCTGGAAATAGAAAATCCCAAGATGTCAGACAAAACAGCATCACATCGTTTTTCAAAATGAAATGACTTCTTTTGAAAATATGAGAAAATTGTTTAGTTCAAAAGAATTATCTTTACCATTATTTTAAAACGAGGGTTTTGTTTTTTGTATGTAAAAAGCATTTAAAACTCCAAAACTGTATTTTGTATTTCCAATTTAACCAGCTGAAACAATTTAAAACAAATATGGAACCAAATGGAAAAAATAAATATCAGACTGAGATTTTCAGATTTTCATACCAAGTTTCATCTAGATGAAGTTTTCATGGCTCTGTGATAAATCCGAGAAAGAAATAAAGAACAGAACAAATAAAAGAAAAAGAAAATAGGGATTTATAATGGAAATGTTGACAAACCACTTTCCATACACAAAAAATGATGATGGTGATGATGATGATGATGGTGGGGATGATAGTGTTGGTGATGGTGGTGACGGTGGGGGTGGAGCCTGCTTAGGATTCTCTCTCCCTCTGCCCCTCCCTCCCTCTAAAAAAACCCCAGAAAACAAAGAACAGTGATTCCCTTGAAATCATAATGCAGATTTCAGAAGACATTATAAAGTCATTCCAAATATATCAAAGTAGTTGCAGCCTTAAAAACAGAAGTTTTGTTCACAATGTCTTAGATGCCTTTTGGGTTGCAAAGTGTCTTTTAAACTAAACTATGAGACAATGAATTCGTCAAAACAGCACCTCCTCTAATCTCGAGTCTGTAACCCTCAGCTGTGGGTAGTTTTAAAGTACTACTCCAACAAAACAGAGTAGGTACTTCTTAAAAAGAAAAACTATTGATTTCTGAAGGCTGCTTCACATTCCAGGAGGATCTACATGACTCACTCAATCCTTTAGTGTCTGAAACACCCAAACCCTCCATCAAGTTTTAAGTGTGAATGCATTACTAGTAAAGTTGAAAAATAGGCCCATGAAACAATCAAAGACCAAAGCACAAAAATTAACATTCCATATGATATTAAACTATCTTCTAAGGTCAAACATCAAGGCTTAGAAAACTGATAACTAAAAATTAGCATTGAATTTGGTAGCACTGGTACAAACTTGCATCAGGCATTTGTACGAGTCAAATGCTTAGACATACAATTTTACAAATGATATGTGCTGTCGACAGCTCACTCACTTTATTCTGGCAGATTTGGTGGACAGGCCGTGAATGGGCTTCTACGATTGTGGCTGCGCTGCGACCTGCATTGAGGTCAAAAACTTCCAGAGTCCTGTTCCGGCCGGCTGTGAGCACAAGATCTGCATGACTCAGTTAGGGAACTCCTCTCAACGATCCATCACCGGGAATGAGCAGCCCCGCGTATTCTGTTAGGACTTTTGGGATGCACCGGAAGACACACAGGATGACTGTGGCTACGACGCCTGAAGCTCCACAGAAGCTGTGCTCACAGCCCCGCTTCCCCCTCTGGTCCTGGGCATCTGGCAGGAGCTGCTGGGCCGTGGACAAGGGCAGACCCAGGTGCTACACACCCCCAGGCGGGAGGCCCAGAGGTCTAACTTCAGGGACATGAGGTTCGAGGTGTCCAGGAAATGCCCCAATCAAGAGATGGAACGGCAGCTGAATCTACGGGTACTGAGCTCAGAAGACAGGTCTGAAGGTAAAACTAGGCAATGCAACCATAAACGTGGACAGTGCTGCCCAGAGCCGGCCGCACGAGAGCACACAACTCCCAGCATGGCATTCCACTGGCTGAGCATCGCTAACTTCTACACGTGGGACAAGAGCGGCCGTTGATGAACTTAGGGTTCATGTGACCACCAGAACTATCCAGCCTCCCAAGTTCAGCCCAGAACACTGTCATCAACAGAATGGAAATAAAAATAATAGGGCAGAAAGATTACCAGATTTGATAATAAACCCAGTGCTAACACTGAAATATGCAGAAACCGCCACTCAAGGCCAGAATACTCAGAAGGACACATTCCTGCGAAGTGTTGTGTTGTGTGTTAGCCAAGGGTCTAGCATAAAAATATCACATTTCTAATTACACTAGAACCTCTAATACCTTATATCAGTCCTTCTGAATTTCAACTATAAAACTCTCCAGAAGAACATAACTTAGACCTCTGAATAACTTAAAATTTTATAAGATGAATTCCTAAAGATCAGGGCTTTTCTTCTAAATAAATCAAAATCGATGCTTTTAATTAAAAGGGATGATGCTAGCCAAAGAAAGTCAAAAAATAAACTTCAAGACTCAATTTCATCTTCAGCATTATGGCTGTAACTTCCGCCATCCTCCACAGAGCTGGGGCAAACTTCCATTAATGGAAGGATACCACCCACCATAGGTGTAGCAGTTCATTTTTAAAAAGTACTAAATTACTACATATCATACAATAAACTACAGACCAGAAATACTGGGTTAGATGCTCTGTTGCATCCACGTCTAGTTTTCCGCTGAAGCTCTTTTCACTACTGAGATGAAATTACTACACATATAATTATGCAGAAGATGTGAGCTCCCTGGGCCCTCGGCAGACGCTCTTGCTGGGAGGGTGACGCTCAGGATGTGAAAACCAAGAGCAGAGGCAAGGATACAGGAATAGAAGTCGTTTACAGCTGATAAACTGGTAATCTCTGTCATACCAGTCGTGGGAAGCCTGAAGACACATTTGCACCTACTCTTCTGTTTATATCTGAAAGAAAAATAAAGATAATTGATCTTTGTTTCTCTCCCACAATAAAGCATTCTACCATTAAAAAGCTGAATATGAAGAAAGTTTTCATATTACTGAATAATTATATTTTATAACATCGAAGGAATAAGTCAGCTACCTTAATTTTCCTTTAGGAAACTCTAAATTTTCCTTTAAGAAAACTTCATGAAAAGGAGGTGGGGTGGGAGGGATGGGGTGGCTGGGTGATAGACACTGGGGAGGGTATGTGCTATGGTGAGCGCTGTGAATTGTGCAAGACTGCTGAATCACAGACCTGTATCTCTAAGACAAATA